TTTTTTTTTTGAAATTCCTAAATTTTAATTTGATTCCATTTTATAAAATAATTTAATACAAGAATGAAAATTTGAATATTATTTAATGCAAAAAAAAAATGTTTTTCTTTTATTGAGGAATGACCACAAATACAATTATTTACAAATGTTCTTATTATCACTTATAAAACAAGATTCCTGGGTCAGTAGTCCACAAATTCATGAAATGAAGGTTATACCATTGAGATATTTTTTAAAAAATTTGACAGCACAAAAATTCAGTCTTGTACCTAATATTGTCATATACATAATTCTAAGAACAAAAGTCACAGATACAGAATAAACGGAACAATATTCTAGTTTAGCTCCCAAGCGATTTTTTGAAWTTTTTTTTGCAAAATGTGTTTTTTGTAATGGAACATTAAAATAAAGTTGCTCGAACTTCTAATGGAAGTTATGTTCAAAAAACTTCGAAATACTCTATTTTTCAAAAAATAATGTTATTGAATTAAAAATATCAAAAATTTGTATTTTTGTAATTTTTTTTTTATATTGTTAGTATTTGTATGCTTAATGTTTCGGTAAAATCAAAATTGGTCTATCGTATTTACTTTTTATATAAAACTTAAAAATGATCGATTTTTCCGAAAATTGTGTTTTTGGTTAAAAATATCAATACCTAAAAAWGTTGAAATTTTTTTTTTTCATTCGGTGTGTAATGATATAAAACAGTTTTAGTGTAATCAAAATTTGTCGGTCGGACTTAGTTTCGAAGTTATGACACTTCAAATAGGGCAGTGATTACATAGTAAGCGGCACTCATCGCTCCGCTCCGCAAATCGAAAATATCCCTCGACTTGCTATGCAACACCACCACAAGTATAGGTTACAGAGTAAGTTATGTTGTAGACTTGTAGTATATGGGCAATGATTATGCAGTTTGCGATACTCGTCGAAAAAATTCCAAAAATACAAATTTTTGATTTTTTTAATTCAATAACATTATTTTTTGAAAAATAGAGTAATTCGAAGTTTTTGAACATAACTTCCTTAAGAAGTTCGAACGACTTTATTTTAATGTACCATTACAAAAAACATACAAAAATACACATTTTGGATAAAAAAAATTTCAACAAATCGTTTGGGAGCTAAACTAGAATTATGCCTAAGTCATATGTACAGTCTTATGTGCACCCAATTATCTACCAGTGTTTACACATTCCAAAAATGTCAATGTCAAATCATCTGTCACTCTGAACAACAACCCACATCAGTGACATTGGATAATATATCAAGTGCAACAAAGAATGTTACCGAAATTAATAAAATTAATAATTATTGATTCATCTCGCATACCTGCATTCCACCGCTCCTCATAAGTAAAATGGCACTTAAATAAGCACAGAATGAAAATACCGTTGGGTTGTTCTTGTTATAAAGGAGGAAAACGCAAATTATTTAACTCCATTATAATATGACAATTATTACAAGTCAACAACAACAAGACTAACTGAGTAACAATTGAAAAACTTTAAATGAAGATTGATAACAACACGCGCTATTAACTTATTATGAAACAGATAAGTAATGAATAATGATATTCTAAAAATAGAAGGTCCTAATGATTATTATTATATGTGTTAATACCATCATAATTATTGGTTTTTAAAATGACACGAGACGAGAATAGTTTAAATTATACGAGCATTAATAAAATAATACAATTACATTATATAATATTAAAATGTAATTACATTGCACAAAATTTGGGRAGTACTTCAAGTACTTTAAAATAGGCAAATCAGTAATTTGAAATAAATATCAACAAACAATAAACATTATTAATTAGTAATTACTCATTATTAACTACGACTGTCTACCGTAGTAGACAGTGGTAAATGATTCGTATTGAGTCATACTATATATACTAGGTGCATAATATACTTTTACCTACTTCTCAGTGCTCTACAAAAACTAGTATACTATAGTAATACTACAATTTTATTTAATTAGTGGAGTTATCGACAATAATAGAAAAAATAAATTGAAAATTTTAAATGCCTATAGTTATAAATAGCCAAAATATTTTGAGAATTTTAAGAATAGTCAACACGATTACACGAATTGAAAATTATATAAACATATCTCGATGAAAATTCCAAGCATCAACGGTTATTCGGGTTTTTATTACAGCAGAAAACAAAATCAATTTTGTCGTTAACTGGCTTTAACCTTTCGTTCAAAAATGCCATTTTTTTTTTTTTAGACGAGATTGTGCAAGTTGGATTCAGCCGATGCGACCAATAAGTGTCACGGGCGTAGCTCACTCGAGACAGTCGACATTCAGGGTCCAATCAGACATCAGACGATCGGATTTTGCCGACCCGCAATTCCCGCGTTTCTACTGCCACACTGCCACAGTAAATAATTAAATATGCCAGAGCCGACGAATTGCGCAAATTGTCCGGTCGGCGAAAAACGTCTGCAATGTCTATTTAGTATTTAGTAGTATTTACCACAATCTAACTCTATAATTATAAAAAACCGGACGGCAGATGCTAGCTGGCAAAATCAGGTCGTCTGTTTTTGATTTCTATGGTAATAAACTAATAAATATAATATAATATATTTACTCATCTTTGTATAATATTAACTAACTAATTTCAATTGAAMATTTTATTTTACTTTATTATTCCATTACTTACTTATAATATTTGATCCTAATGAACCTTTTTTTCCATACCTTCTGTAAAGCGAAGTTTCACTTTATCGTCTTTATCCGAACGTAATGTTGTTGGAACATGCAAACATTTTTTATTCCCTACCCTTTCAAAAACTAAATACCAATAGAAATTGCTTACTCTTGATCCACCAAAGTCCAAAAGACTTTTAATAATTGATTCACTTTCTTACCAGAAAAGATGCCGAAATAGAAGCATTTTTACTGGCCCAAGGCGCCCAGCTCCCAAAAAATGTAATTATTAAAATGCTCATAACTTGCTTCGAATTTTCAATAATATCAAAAAAAAAAAAATCCTTTCGAGATGCCTAAAATTATATTCTAATTTTCTAAACTTTATGCATGTAAAAGATATAATATATATTTTGATTACTTATTAAAATTAATAACATGCATATTTAAACATTATTTATCAGTTATCAGTGTTATCACACATTATGAAAAATAATCTCTACTCTCTATAATTAGGGGTAATTAACAATTCGATTTTTATATAAAATTCTTAAAATATTTTGCTTTATTGGAATAAGAAATAAAAAAGTATAATATGCTGCCATTCAAAAATGTAAAAAATATAAAAATGATAACAATAAAAAAATACTAAAATGTTTTTTTGACAGGATTTTGTGAAAAAAAATTCCATAAATATTAATATTTTAGAGAAAACGAGTGTTTTACCTTTGAAGAACTCACTCCATATAATAGTCATACATCATACACTACATAACGTAGATAATAGTCAATAAATATATGTATATATGTATATAATATGTAAAAGACTTAGGTATAGAGGCTTTTATGTAATCAGGATAGCTAGTAATCTTTTGTTTATCGCTTGAATCATCTATGTAGGTACAAATTTTTACCATCATAATATTTATAAATTTATTCTCATATATTTACTCATCACCTAATACCTATGGTTCCACCTTTTTTTAATTTATAAAACTTATAAATTGCAAGTATTAGACTTTTAAATTCTAAAGTTTTTGGGATATTAAAAATGTATATCTTTAATCCTTGCTATGATTAYTTTTACGGCTAATAATACCTATATACCTATAGACGCTATAACCATAGTACTGATAGTATGCCTATACGGTTATACCTACGTATATCATAAATGATGCGTTGGCCACTTTGAATTCGTCTTGTCTTTTCGCGG